TTAATCATCTTTGATTGAAATCCATAAAGAATGTTTAATATTAATAGTAATATTATTATTAACGAAATTGCACTTATAAACTTACTTTTCTCCACAGATTCAACCAGTAATTTCACATTCTGAATAATTACTATTGGCAGATTTAAAAGAAAATGAATGATTTATCCCATATAATCAAATTTATATTTAGTTAGTGAAAATTTAAACAAATTAGCTGTAAAAGCACTAAATAGCCTAGGATCGTAACTTTGTGCTTTGTTTATTATATATAGTTTTGCATGCGCAAGTTTTTTATTTGTATCGTACAAGACTACAAGTAAGATTTTATGAAATATCTATTTTATGCTTATTATTTTCCAATTTACAATTGATGAGTCCTTTACTATTAACTTATGGTAACTTTGTGCAACAAACGAAATTATTTTTCTTTCTTAGCGGGTGGATTATTATTACTATCATCGCTTTTCAAAGTTTCTATAATCTTCTTAAACTCTTTCAAAGCTTGACTGCGGATTTTTTTTTTTAAAAAAAAAAAAATTTTAACAAAATTATTTCTGATCAACAGTTTAACCGTTTGATTATCAAGCTGACTCTGAATCTGAATTTTTTTTTTAAAAAAAATGTAAATTTTTATTATTTATTATTATTTTTTTTATTAGACAATTTTGGTTATACGCTATTATTTTTTTTTTTTGCGTGAGTAATTCTCATTTTTGGGTGACTAAAAATTTCTTTGCAATTATGATTCATTTTAATTTCTTGTGCGGAACTGCGAATATTTTATATTTTGAAAAATTTTTTTTTTACATAATCCACGTTTTATTTTAATAACGACGATGAAATTTGATAATAAAAAAAAAATTCAAGCTTAAGAGGTTAATAAAAGAATAAACAAAAAATAAAAAAAAGTGATTATTGTGAAAAGTGGATTAAACATAAATGGAAAACATAAACACAATCCATACGAACCAGGCTTTTTCTTCGAATTTTTATTAAGAAAATGATAGAAATTTTTTCAAATAAAAAATGAAAATGATAAACATGCAAATAAAACAATGATATTGGATTAATAAAAATGAATATATTATTTATTTATCTATCTAGAAACAAATAATGAAAAAGAGGTTCTAGGCATTAAAATATTTACAATATGTATCACTTAAAAAAAGTGTCATAACTCATAATCCACTCATATAATATTTCGGAATTTTTTTAGTTAGTGTCTTTTGACGAAGATTTGTGACGTGAAATTTGTTTTTAAATGTATGACAGCTGTCTCTTATACACATCTAGATGTGTATAAGAGACAGATGTATCACTTAAAAAAAGTGTCATAACTCATAATCCACTCATATAATATTTCGGAATTTTTTTAGTTAGTGTCTTTTGACGAAGATTTGTGACGTGAAATTTGTTTTTAAATGTATGACAGTGTTACTTTCTAAAAATGGTAATTATTTATGCATTGAAGTAACAAATCACCGTTTGCCAAGAATCCTGTGTAATATAACTTACTGTTACTGCGCTCGGTGCGTTGAAATGCTAAATTAAAAATTTTTTCTTTGATTTTTTTTTGTTATGGGAAGAGCTCAAAATTTGTGGAGGACCAGTTCTATACATCTTATTTTCACGCCGGATGCATAATTCAATCGTATTCAACAAATCCACAATGAATAATGTAAGTCACATGACATGCATAGCACGTGATGATTATATTTTCTATTTATATGACCTCGGTCCGAAATAAATATTTTTTCCACTTTTCAACCCGCACAAATTTTTTAGCTTTTTTTTATCCTCTCAATTTGAATTTGTTTATAAATTGTGAAAATCCTGCTCATGGATTCTTTTGGGCTAATTAAGCTATCAGATGCTAGCGAGATATGTAAAAAATGTAATTGCATCTGTTATTCAATACAATTTCAACATAATTTTAAAAATTGGACTAGTGGTAATGATAATATTGATAAAATTATTCAAAATACTCAGTTATCAGTTCATGAAGATGTAAGTAAAGTATTAGAAGTATTAGAATGGATACCTTATGATAAATTGTATAATATTACAAAAGATGATGAGTTTGGTAAAGTATATAGAGCAAATTGGATTGATGAATATATAAGTTATGATGAAAATGATAAAAGTTGGGATAATGAAAATCAAAATTGGATAAGAAATGAATACAATATGTTTGTGAATTTGAAGAGTTTAAATACTCCAAACATTTTTACATTAGAATTTGTAAATAAGGTATAAGCTTCAGTTAATTACATAACAAAATTATAAATATTTTATTTCTAATATATCATTACATTTGTAGATTAAATTTGAACGTATATTTTATGGAATAACTCAGGATCCAGAAACAAAAAATTATATGATGGTTTTGAATAATATATGTGAAAGGTGCAATAAAATATGTAATTCAATTCACTTTCAACGGAAATTCATAGATTGGACTAGTGGCAATAATGATATTGATAAATTTATTAAAAATACTCAGTTATCAGCTCATGAAGATGTAAGTGAAGTATTAGAATGGATACCTCATGATAGATTTCATGATATTAAATATCATATTGCAAAAGATGAGTTTTGTGAAGTATATAGAGCAAATTGGATTGATGGACATATAAGTTATTGTAAAAATAGTGGAAGTTGGGATAATGAAAATCAAAATTGGATAAGAGAAGGATGCAATATGTTTGTTAATTTGAAGAGTTTAAATACTTCAAACATTCTTACATTAGAATTTGTAAATGAGGTATAAGCTTCAGTTAATTATTAACAAAATTATAAATACTTTATTTCTAATAAATTATTACATTTGTAGATTAAAATTGAACATGAATTTTATGGAATAACTCAGGATCCAGAAACAAAAAATTATATGATGGTTTTGAATAATAAATGTAAAGAGTGTAATAAAATATGTAATTCAATTTACTTTCAACAAAATTTTGAAAATTGGACTAGTGGCAATGATGATATTGATAAATTTATTCAAAATACTCAGTTATCAGTACATAAAGTTGCAAGAGAAGCATTAGAAT